GAGTTCAGAAGAAAGAACAAACATGCAGGAATAGCCCAAAACACGCTAAAATGTAAAACCTACGAAGGTGGACCAGTCCTACCAGATTAAACCACACTATAAGACTCCATAATTAACACAGAGTGCTATTTACAGACCAGCAGAATAGAATGGAATAGAATAGAAAAGATCAGATCTAAGTAAATGTGGAAACAGTAAAGGTGGCATCATAAATCACAGAAGCAAAGGTGAACTTTTTAATCAATGTTGCTGGCCCAACTGGGCAACCACTTAGAAAAAGAATACCATTAGATTCTTTTTTTTTTTAAGATTTTATTTATTTATTTGACAGAGAGAGAGAGATCACAAGTAGGCAGAGAGACAGGCAGAGAGAGAGTGGGAAGAAGGCTCCCTGCGGAGCAGAAGGCCCAATGCGGGGCTTGATCCCGGGACTCTGGGACCATGACCCAAGCAGAAGGCAGAGGCTTTAACCCACTGAGCCACCCAGGTGCCCCAAGAATACCATTAGATTCTTATCTCCCACACACATAAGAATAAACTCCACATTGATCAGGAAAGTAAATATTTTTTAAAATGCATATAGAAAATAATTTAATAAATTAAATTTTTAAAAATATGCTGAATGTCTCTATATACAAAGGTTTCTAATATTAACAAAGTCCAGGGGCAATCAAAAAAATGATTAATAAATCTACATAAATTTCTTCAATTGCATGGTCAAATAACTTGCATGTCTAATCAGACTAAAACACTTGAAGCATATATCATAGATGAAAGGCTAATATCCATAATATATAAAGAGGTTTTAAAATTTGAGGGAAAAAGGACCAAAACCTTAACAGAAAAATTAGAAATATATATGAACAAAAAATATAATCCACAAAATGGATGCAAAAGAGTCTTAAACATATACAAAGATGTCATCATTTGCCATCACTCACAATTTAAGAAATGCAAATTACCCTTGAATATGATTTCTTACTTACCTGATTGATTAAAACTTAAAAGTCTGACAACACATTCTGTTGTGAAGCTGAGGGTGCTCCCATTTATTTCCGTGGGGAATGCAAATTGCTACAACTCTTTTGGAAGAGAATTTGAAAATATCAACAAAACCACCTATGCATTGACCTTTTGATCCAGTAATCCCATTCTAGGAATTCACCCTGACCAGACACCCCCAACAATATGAAAATACATAAGCACATACACAGGAGCATTGTTTACAAATGCAAAATGTTGGAATTAACTTAAATGCCCAAATATAGGCGATATGTTGAATAAACAATGACATATCCACACAACCCAGCACAATGCAGCAATAAAAAAGTATGAGGGGCGTTTCTAGGAGCTGACATGGAATGATTTCTGGGATATTTTACTGTTAAGCAAAGAAAGTCAGACACAAAAGAATGCTAACTTTCATGTAAGAAAGCAGGGTAAATAAGAAAACACTCATTCTGCAAAAGTATCAACCAGAAATGAATGAGACGGCTTACCCACAGGAGGTGGGTGAGAACAGAGCAGAAAGGAGAGGGAGACTGGGGGGGGGGGGGGCTGGGGAGAATGACAGTTCTCTGATGTACCTTTTTTCAGAGTCTCCTCGTGTTATAATTATTAAGTCAACAAATGTCAGATTCAATTCTTTTAAAATCACAAAATTATTACCTGGCATGATGTCTGCTTTTTCTTGATTTTCAGATTCTGAATAGTTTATTTTTTAATTCACTAACTTTTCTGCGAATTTACCATGGGTGGAGTGCTAGGCTACGTACTATGAAAACTGGAAAATAGATAAAGATACTGTAACCGCAAAAACCTTGTGTTCCACATAATGTCTTATGTAGAAAACAAACCAAAATATTACAGATGTACAGAAAGCTGAAAGAAAGGCAAAAAAAGAAGCAATCTCAAAATCAGAAATCTTATGGTATAGAAACAGTTTGCTCTAAGTATACATCTTAATTCTAATCTCTTCATTATTTTATGCCATAGTTTCTTCTAAAAATGAAAGAGAAAGACATACTAAAATCATTAACACAATGTTAAAGAATGTAAGTCCAGTAATGAAGTAGAGTAATGAAGTCCAGTAATAAAGTTGCATGGGAAAGGAAGTTAGATAAATAAAAGCAACAATTTAGAGGAAAAAGTTAATGATGAACTACCAGAAAAGAAGCCAAAAAAGGAAAAAGCACTAAGTCACAGAGACCTTATTATCTAATGAAAAAGGCAGATCAGTTCATCAATTGAATGCGTTGCCCAACACTGATGAACCTGAGGTCGGCCATGACCTCTTTAACACAAAATGCAATGAATGTCTGTATAAGTAAGCCTCCGGTAGTAAGGTTCTCCGTTACTTCCAGTGGAAAGCATTTCCAGCTAATCCACAATCTGTCAACCAGATTGGATGTGACTATTTCAAACACCCTAATATAAAATTTTATTAACCTAAATAGTTCCATCAGGGGTGCCTGGGTGGCTCAGTGGGTTAAACCTCTGCCTTCAGCTCAGGTCATGATCTCAGGGTCCTGGGATTGAGCCCCACATCAGGCTCTCTGCTCAGCAGGGAGCCTGCTTCCCCCTCTCTCTCTGCCTGCCTCTCTGTCTACTTGTGATCTCTCTCTCTGTCAAATAAATAAATAAAATCTTTAAATAGTTCTGTCAGTCAGAATTAAAAATAAACAAAACAAGGTAAACGAACAAACACTGTGTTTATAGAAGCTGGAAACCCTAGGACTGCCTTCATATTCAGGAGGTTTCAGATCTGAAGGAGGAAAGGAAAAATGACCGAAAAGCTGGGTCCAACAGATCCAGCAGACCCTAGGGTTCTGGTTGACAATGGACAGATGAGTTTGGAGGTCAAACAGAGTCCAGCCATCTGTTCAAAAATTGGCTGAAACATAGGTCACATATCCAGGATCAGAGCGAAAAGACAAAAGAAAGCAGATGTTTGATGAACTTATAAGACAAAACATGTGACTCTCTGGATCAGATTTTACATGTAATAAAAGTCCATGAGAACCAAATTATTTTTATTCTCTTTAATAATATCCTGCTTTACTCTCATGATTCTCGGGAGTTTCATTCTGAGAAATGAGACATTTATTTTTTATGTTGTTAGAATCCTGGCTTTTACTTTTATATTTTATTATCATTTAAATCCTTAATCTAAATATGGCAGATAATAACAAAATACCTGATGATTGTTTTGAACTATGGAAAATGGCTAAAATGAGACAAAGCCGAAGGTTGTTGGGTCTTACTGTTAGTTATATACCCTCTTGGATTTTTCAAAATACTAATATCCACCTAAAACTAGTTGTTCCATGCTTAAAAGAATAAGAGAAAGTCCAAACCTAGTTAAAATCATAAATTCAAAGAGAGATATGAATGGTAGTTAGTGGGACCAGAGAAGTGATTTTACTTTTGCTGTGTTAATACAGAGATTTTTATTTTATTTTAAATGAGCAGAAATTAAGGAAAACCTAGACCAAATCTATGGCAACATACCCTTTTTGAATCACCAATTCACATGGCTGATTATTTCTGAGGTGGACACAGATCACAGGTCCATCAGAGGGTCTCACAGTGGCCAGTCGAGGAAGAAGAGCCCACTAAGCTTGCTTATGCAAGTCTCAGAATACATGCACATCATCCACATTTGAAAAAACAAAACAAAGTTTACAGGGTACTCAGGAAACCAGTCTGAAAGCACACCATCACTGCACACGACACCCATTGGCCTTCTAGTCCAGCAGTCTCCTAGGCAAAGCTGCCCCTCACATGGTCTATTCTCTAAAGAACTGGGAAGAATTGAGTTAGTATTGGTCTTATATCCTAAATTCTCCCACCCTTTTTACCTCATTAGAAAGCAATACAATTTCTGTCTCCTTCCCTCTCGATCACATCTTTTCTTCTAACCCTCCAATTCCAGGCAATCATCAACTCTTCTTCTCCCTTCTTGGCCTTTACACCATCTTTGACCTTGTAAATAACATTGCACTGTAGAATAGAGCCTCTACCAACGCAGAAGATAGTCGCCCAGGGAAGTTTATGTACATACAACTCATCATAACACAGAAGACTAAGCCAAAATGGCCATCAGATAAATTCCGTGTCTAACAGCACTATCCTGCATTTATTTTATAGTCACTTCTGAATTGTCTGATTCTGACGACTGATTAGAAACAGCAAATTACATAGTCCGATACTTTGAAGAAGCAGAAAGACTGGAGCAGACCAGGCAACAAACCAGCTGCCTGATGCTGAAAGGGGCAGAGTCGGGGCAGATCCGAGACAGAAGACCTCATGCCGGCCAGTCTTCGGCACAAAGGAAACACCAGTTGTTACTGCTGGAGGCAGTAACATCATAAACTCTGAAAAATGGGAAGGACCTAAAAAATCTAGTCACGTCTCTTCCCATTGTAGGAACTTCTCCTACCCTATCCTACAGTGATGATGCAGTCACTGTATGAACGCAAGGACTGCCTCACTGCTGTAAAAGGAAGCCCATTCCATTTTGTAAAATGTTTTTTAGGAAGCTCATTCTTTTTTTTCTTTCTTCCTTTTCTTTTCCTTCTTTCTTTCTTTTTTTTTGGCGGGGGGGGGCAGGCAGAAATCACAAGTAGGCAGAGAGGCAGAGAGAGAGAGAAGGGGGAAGCAGACTCCCTGCTGAGCAAAGAGCCTGATGCGGGGCTCAATCCCAGGCGCCTGAGATCATGACCTGCGCCGCAGGGAGAGGCCTAACCCACTGAGTCACCCAGGTGCCCTAGGAAGCTCATTCCTGAAGAGTCAAAAACTGCTTCTCTGTAACTCTGATTTCCTGATGCTGATTCATTTATTCAACTGGCACTTAGCAGTGTTTCCGTAAAGATAAAACACATCGATAAAATCTTCATCCCTCTATAGAGACAAAGACACGAACAGGAATAAAAACAAAACACCAACTGCCTTTCCTTCCAGTCTCCCTTTCTTCATTCCCAAGTCTCAGTACCACTTACCTGAATCACACCTCCCAAGAAGGAAACAGCTGCGGCAACACCAATCCTTCGCAGCTCGAAGTCCGATAAACCCAGTGTGCTTGTGTTACTCTGTGTGGTGAAGTTCTGGCTGCTCAGAGGGACAAGCCGTTCCACTGCATTGGCTGATATTAAGGATGTCAAGGCGAAGGTGCCTAAGAGGGGGTGGGGGTGGGGGGAATCTTCTGTTAGTAAAGGACTCAAGAATAATGGTTAGATTCCACCATTGAAGTTGAGCACATGGTGTAAAACTAAACAGATCTATTGGAAACACTCTTTTCAGCACCCCGACTCCTCCACCCTTCACTCCACTCCACGGAAGAAGCAGAACCTTTCCTACAGATACACACAGTCCTTCAACATATGATCACACCCAGCTCCTTGCTCTTCCCAGATCCTATGTACATTTTCCCACCACTCTGCAGACCTACACAGAGAGTATCTTCAGGACAGGGATTAAGATCACAGTTTAGGCTTGCATGCAAATCCTCTATTTATCAATAATGTGACTTAAAGTGCATGACCCTGAGTCTCCATTACTTCACCCATAAACTGCAGATGATAATACCTACCTTTCAGGACTTGGGGGAAACATAAATGAGATGATAATTGTGAAAACCTCACTAGGCTCAGTGGTTAACTGTGAACTCTTCCCCTTCAGTATTAGCTCCATGCAACTCATTTCAGACTTCTGACTTCTAAAACTATAGGATAATAAATTTATCTTGTTTCAAGCCACTAAGCTCCTGGTAACTTATTATATTGTAAATAGGAAACCAACGCAGTCAGTGACACAAACTGAAATGACACAAAGTGAAGAAACAGACACATACTTACAGGCTGAGATCTTAAGCACACAAAATAAATAGAAATGCCTCTATGGATATTTCTGTTAAAAGTATTTTTTATCATTATTACCTTAATATTTAAGATTAAGGTATCATTTCTGTAATAATAATAACTAACTTACTCTTATGTAGCAAGTACTAAATTAGACACTATACATCAATTATTTCATCTAATTCTAATTATAGTCATATGAATTTTTTTTATTTCACTATCCAGAAAGCAGCAAATAAGCCTTTGAAAGGTTGTCCAAGGTCATGCAGATAGCAAACAACAAATAAGACATATACCCAGAACCATCTCACTCTACAACCAAGTTTTTAACCAGTTTGTTCTATTATCAGACTATTTGTGATAGTTCACATTTTATTTAGTAAGGCAGAGATAGCCAAGGTAAGAGATATACTAATTAAAGGGCATTATATGTCTGTTAGCCATTTGTATGTCTCTTCAGAGAAGTGTCTATTCATGTCTTCCATCTATTCTTTGACACAGTGGCTAACTGAACATAATAAAAAAATTAAAAAAATAAAAATGAATAAAGGGCATTATGGAATCTAGCTTGGATGAAACCTAAAAGATCATTGAGTCTAAGCACCAATTACATAAAAAATGTTTTTTAACATTGGAGTAAATAAATTCAATAGTTTTTTCTTTCCCTTAAAGAGCTTACCTTCTCTCATTTCATTGTAAATTCAGAATGTATGCCCTTCTTTTATGACCTTTTTGCAACTTAAAAATGCAAAGAATTTTTAAAATAATCTTGATTACATAATAATATAGCAATAAGTCACAGTACATATTGAGTGAGGCACAGAGAGTTAAATGTCATGTTCTAATATTTGCTGAGGTTTTCAGAAGTAAAGTTAGAATTGCTTTGGAAATGTAATCAGTAACTAACGAGCATTTTTTTAAAAATTATTTATTTATTTGTCTTAGGACGCGAGATTGCGTGTATGCACTCGCACAAGCATGGAGGGCAGAGAGTAAGGGTCTTAAGCGGTCCGTGCTCATTGTGGAGCCCCAGTGTGGGGCTTGATCTCATGACCTTGAATCACAGCCTGAGCTGAAACCAAGATCTGCAAGCTTAACCAAATGTGCCACCCAGGCACCCCTTTAATGAGCACTTCTGAGTCCTTTCCATTAGTAGCATGAGGAGCATAAACAGAGAGAGAAATTATTACCTGTGGCAACATGACGTCCCATTCCAAATATGGCATAAATGATGGCAGGAAACAGAGACCCGTATAAACCAAACACAGGATGCACGGATGAAAGAATCGCAAAGGCCAACCCTGTCAAGCAGACCCAGGTAATTAGGACCTTCTTAAAACTCCAAGATACAGTCCACTACAAAGCAGAATGGATATTTATTTTAGTGACTAAAGGAACTACGACTTAATTATTCCACTCGCTCAGTGAGATTCTAGAGTTACCATCCTAACTAACTAGAAATTCCCTCATTTAGTTCATATTTAAATTTCAGTTCTAAAAACCATTATTTTGGGACCACTACCTTTCCCCTCGATTACAGAGACGTCTACAAGAAAAGACTGGTCCAGAGAATCTTCCTGGTAAAAGTGATACCAACCTAAGGCAAAATATCTCCACACACACTTCGAGAAGCATTTCTACAGTTTTTGGGGATCATTTTATTGGCACAGTAGCATCTGTGGGGTAGGCAGAACTAGCAGCATTACTGCCAACAAGGGTCAGGAAAGCTGGGGCAAGAAGGACACACACTCAAGGCTGCCTGGCTGGCCGCTGGCCGGCTGATCTCAGACTGTGTCACAGTAGCAGGGCGACATGTGAACTGAGGCACTTCCCATCCTGGATCCCAAACTATTTCAGCTCTAGTTTCTTAGAGTGAAAAAAAAAATCAACTTTGTTTATTCGAAGAGTAGGTAAGGACTAACCCATAACTGTTCATTTTTATTCTTCATCAATACCACTGCCTACATAGTTTGTATGTTACATACAAATAGATAATTTTCTTAGATGTGTCTAAATGACCACTAGTGGTTTATATGTGACCAAAATACATGTGAATACGAGCTCATTAAAGTGATCTTGCTGGTCATGGCTAGTTAAGCTAGGTTCTGACATATCCATCCAAGTCTATACAATTTATTGATAAGCATTTGATTGAACATAATGCATTTTAGAAGGTACAAAGGGACTCGAGGAAGGAGGTAGCATTAGAATCTAGATTACCTGCATATGAGGTTAATTCATTATTCACAGTATGGTTCTAGGATAAATACTTTTTTACTGTTTAACTTTTACTGTTTTAAAATTAAGTTTAAATATTTCTTTTTTAGGGGCGCCTGGGTGGTTCAGTGGGTTAAAGCCTCTGCCTTCGGCTCAGGTCATGATCCCAGGGTCCTGGGATCGAGCCCCACGTGGGGCTCTCTGCTCCGCAGGGAGCCTGCTTCCTCCTCTCTCTCTCTCTCTGCCTGCCTCTCTGCCTACTTGTGATCTCTCTCTCTGTCAAATAAATAAAATCTTTTTAAAAAAATCTTTTTTAATAAATAAGCGGTAGTTATACATCAAATACGTTTTTCAAGCACTACAAGACATTTTAGCTTTACTTAAAATACATAAAATGTTTACCAGTGACCATCCCTTCTTTATTTTAAAAAACCCATCTGGGGGCACCTGGCTCATTCATTAAATATCTGCCTTCAGCTCTGGTCATAATCCCAGGGTCCTGGAATCCAACCCTACATCGTGCTCCCTGCTTGGCGGGAAGCCTGCTTCTCCCTCTCCCACTCCCCCTGTTTGTGTTCCCTCTCTCTCTGTGTCTCCCTCTGTCAAATTAATAAATAAATAACCTTTAAAAAATTTTTTTTAACTTAAAAAAATCTGTATTGCTATTTACTTACAAAGTATTCCTAAATGTCTGGTAAAAATAAATAAAAAGTGATTCTAGAAGGTTCAATGGCAGACTCTGCTCTAGAATTTCATACATGCAGGATGAGAGGCAGCATTCTGGATTTAGGAAGGACAATTTTAAGTGTTACTCCACCCTACCCCCCAAAAAGCCCCTCCTGGCATTTATAGCTTATGCAACTTTGCAAAAATTGTACATTATATCAGTCACACAGAAAGCTAGAAAAAACTTTTCTTTTTCATTTTCAGAATGAGTTACCTGAAAAAATTACCTATCAAGAAACAGAATACTGAGTGTTTCCAGGTAAGGAAAAAATGTGGCCCACATTTCGGAAGACCCAGATCTACTAAATCAAGGATGGGGGTAAAGGAAAATTGCACGCAGCATCTTTAACAAAAGATGGATGAATTATACACACATGAAATTTTGATTAATGTGATAAATATCAACAGGATAAGAGTTGCCCTGTTTGGCTACATTTGTATTCTATCTGCAACAGAAAATGTATAGACAGACCTAGAAGCAGTGAGATCCTCACCTCTTGCCTAGTGCCAACTATTTACCTGTTAGCTTTATTAATTCCTTTCTCTCTCTGCCTCTCTCTCTCTCTCTCTCTCTTTCCCTCTCTCCCTCCTTCCAGTTTCCCTCTCCCTCTCTCTCCCAGTCTTTCTTTAATCCCCCGCAATATCTATATATAGCAAAATCCATTCAAAAACAGAATTTCTTCAGATCTCATACTCTTATCAAATTAAAATCAGGATAATCATGTAAAGCATGTTTAATCCAAATCTTTAAGAGCTCTCTAAACCTAAAAATGTAAAATATTACTTCAGTAGATTCTACAAAAGCAACCTCAAAAAACAGAAATACTGTTGTAGCCATTTCCTTCCTCTCATCTGACACCGATACTGAGCTTTCCCTTTGAGCAACAGTGTCCTTCACCCTCAGCCAGAATCTGTTTCTTTGCTAAGATGGCAATGAGGAATGGATGAACACAGATAAACAGTGCTTTAAAATACTCTTTCCACAAATAAGAACCATAAAACCCAAGCCATCCTCCCACACACACCTCCAAAATGTACAGGGGCCTGGGTAAAGTTTTCTTATTCGGTCTGATTCTTTTATTATTCTGGGCCACAAAATAAGCCACATACACATTTTCATACACACACATTCACCCAGCTAAAATATGGTAAACACTTCAAAAATGATGAAAATATTAACTAGTTCGAGTCACTTACAAATTACCAGAATTATCTATACTCTTCTCCATGTTTATGAAACAAGGAATTTAATAAATTAAGAGCAGAATTACAACTCTCTAATTCTAGTATTTGGGGAGGAAATACTGCAAATGTTAATAAATATTTGTATTACCTAATCTAACTTAGACTAGAAGAGAAGCAAGAGGACAAAAAGAAGGATCAAGAAATAAAAACAAAATAAATATCAGGCCAAAGGGTGCCAAAGGGGGATAGGAAAGAAAGAGCAAAAGAAAGGAGATAGAGAAGGAAAGGAAACAGAGATAGGAAAGAAACAGAAGTAAAGGGGAAAGGGAGAGAGAGAGAGAGATTGGAGGACAGAGCCCAAACCTTAAAGTCTTTAGAGGGGTGATTATTTTTAAAGATCAAAAATCGTATATTGGTAAGGCAAGTCTGATGTAACCACAAAAGAATTGTCACTTTCTGAAGGACTGAAAGATGTGGTTTTTAAGAAAACATGTTTTGTAGGTGTAGTAATGGCTCTTATAGTACAGAAACAGAATGGACTCTTTATTCCCACATCAACACCATCACTAGCTTCAAGGCCTATGAACACCACCAGACTTTGAGGGGCCCTGAGCACGATGTCACACATTTCCCACCATTCCCCTTGCCCCTAAACCCCAGCTGCAAGGAAAATGGCTTCCCTAACACAGTGCCTGGCCCATGAGGGAGAGGGAGCACCAAAGCTGGTAGGTCACTCTTGAGTCTCCGCCTCTGCTCCTGATCTAATCTCTTGGTTGAAATGGCTAGAAAGTCACACTGTCACTACTGGTGAGAAAGAGAATTGTTTATCACAGAGAAGACACTGTTCAATACTTGAAGATACAGATTTTTATTTCCCTGTCAGCCATTTTATCCAGATTTACATGATAGCAATTATTCAGAAAAATCCAAGAAGCCTGGAATTGCAAACGATCACGTCTAAAAATTAAGTAATGTGTTGGAAGTTGAGGATCAGGTGCTGGGGTTACACATAGAGAGCCACTCTGTTGGAGCCTCCATGTTCTGCTGGCTTAGGGACTCACCTGTTTATGCTAAGGTCAGGCAGCTAGGACTCAGAAGCACGGGTTTTACTCCCCCTAGAACCGTGGTCAGTCTTTAAAAACTCTGTGAATTGAGTTTCTATACGAAGTAATAACTGAACTGTCTCATAAAATCTCCAATTTCTAGTACACAAAAAAGAAGATATTTACAAAAATATCAAGAAGGCTGAACCCAGGCTGACCGGCTCATGGGAAGACCCCCGCCTTGGTGCCCAGCCTGCAGCTAACTGAAGCTGGTGCTAGATCACTTCCCACTCTATGCAAATTAGAAAAAGGTGCCCCCTGCTGGGTGATCAACACCCTTTATTTGTGAGCTGTGACTGCCCCTTTAGGATATATATAGATAGTTTTCCCTTATCTTCTGCAAAAAACAGGAAGCTTTTAGTTTTGTCAATCTCGAAAATACTCATTTCTCAAAATCACGTTAAAGCACTGTATTCAATGTAAGTTGCTAAGCAGAAAACAAACATTCCTTTTCAGTTCTAGATGCTGGGCCCACAGATGAATTGTTGCCTTTGGATAAGATAGAGGAACTCTAGGATTTGAGATAGACGCTAATAATCTATTCAACTGGGGGTGTGGGGGGAAGGTGGTGTTTGTCACCTACGCCCCTGCCTCCTGGTTTTATTTTAAAACTAAAGCCGAGATTTTATCCTAGTTAAGTCATGCCACTTGATAAATTGTAGCATTATCCAAATGACACCCCCACAGTAAAGATACTTCATAGGAGTAAAAGCCAATAACAAAAGCTTAATTATTTCTTATAAATGCCTAGGGGCTGGCAGTGGAAGTGGTGGCAGTGTGATGTCATGAATATTAAGGATCAAAAGTAATTTTGTGTGCATTTCAGAACTTATTCTGAGCCCAGAATTGCTAAAGATAGAAGCACTTAAAAGTTCTCATTCCAAAGAGTGAGGACTAAGCACCAATAATCCCAGAAGGGTAAGAGAAAGTGTTTGGAATTTAGAGAAAGCACCAACAATAAAACTCAAAGAAAGGAAATGAAAGAGCCAATCCTGTGCTGCATTCCTTAATCACTGACTTAAGACTCTTATGACTAGCCTTTTTCATGAAAATGAAAGGGCCGCTTGTGT